GCCCGCTCACCCTTGCTCCTCCATCATCTCCTGCAGTTCCATGCACTTGAGCTCCACGCGCCGCTTGCGCTCGTGGTCCAGGATCTCGCGGTGCGCGCGCTTCACCAGGCCCGGCTCTGCGGCGCGCAGCTCCTCTTCCGCCCGCGGCCAGGTCCCCGAGGAGGCGCCCGGCTGCGGGAAGCCGTTCGCCGCGTCCGGGGGGGACGGCATGGTGGCCGCCCCGTTGTTCACGGTGGAGGACATGGCGGCTGGCTCCGGAGCCGCTGGCCTCGGCCCTGTGAGACAGACACAGACACCAGGCGGGTGGTCACTTCTCGGCCACCTGCTAAGCTCCTGTGTGCTCGGGTTAATCCTGGAGATTTAAAGGCCCACTCATGGCTCTAATCCGCTTCCCCTCATGCTTGGGGGGGGCGGGGGCTGAAGTCAGGTTAGCACCTTTGGATCACACCTCAGGGCATGAGGGGGGGATTGGACACCACGCTTTCCCATCTGCAAAGTGGGTGGATGCTGGACTAGAATGCCTCCAAGGGCCGTGGGCTTGGAATAGTCATCTCCAGGGACCTAGTAACCACCTAGGCAATGCACGCTCCCTTATACCAATTCCTGGGCCCCTGCTTGCACACCTGCTAGTAACTTCCCCAGGTAACCACATCGGTCTCTGGGAAAATTTGTTAGTTGTCTTTTTTTTTAAGTTTATTTATTTATGTATTTATGTATTTATTTAATTAATTAAGTAATCTACGCCCAATGTGGGGCTCAAACTCACAGCCCTGAGATTAAGAATTGTGTGCTCTTCCAGCTGAGCCAGCCAGGTGCCCCAGGTAAAATCTGTCAGTTTTATTTTTGTTTTTCCTTCAGCCTCAGTTAAACTTCTCCACCTCACTCTGAACACCCACTGACCCCTGGCCTATGGGGTCACAGGCTACATGGACTCCCCACTCCCAGTCGGTTCCCAGGGCAGCCCTGCGGGAGATGGGAAGATGCAGTTGACTGCAATCCCACCACACGTGCGGTTTTCAGTTGATCTGGCCAACTTCTCCAAAGCCAACCTTCCAGGTGTGGGCCGGATCCAGAGGGACGCCCACAGGTCTGTCCCCTCCTTTGTTCTGGAAACACTGCTCCTGAAGATGTGACCAAAATGGCACTAACATTAGCTTTGCCAACAGCTGCATCCTCCTGCAGGCTCAGAGTGATGTGGGAGTCAGAATGGCCCCAAAGGTAGGAGGCCCTGGCTCCACACTAGGCTCAGAGTAGAGTATGCACATGCACACGGGCAAGCACCCTCATGTGCACCAAGGACCTATCTTGACAGAGGGGAGGCACCTCCTGCTATTTCCATTTCCTTTCTCCTAGGCTCCAGCTAGTTGCTAAGCAACAGAGAGGCCTCCTTCCCAGGGAGTGGGATGGGAAGGAGGGAATTGTGGAGGGAGGTGGGAAGAAGGGATTGGGCATGTCTGGACATCCTAGATGGGGCCTTTCCTGCAACACAACCCCACAACAGTCACTCCCCTCACTGGCCTTGGAGTGATGGGGTGGGGGTGTTCGGAGCCACAAAAACTGGAAGGGAGGGAAGGGGACAGAGTGACAGGCAGTGACGGTGACGATGAGAACATAAACTCTTTTCCCATAAACTCTTTTCATCCCCCTAAATCCCAAGCCCCTGGGTTCTAGGCCAGGCTCCTCTACTCCTTGCTGTGTGACCCTGAGGATGTCACTGACCTCTGAGCCTCTGGTCCCTACCTGTGCCTGGGAGCATCATCTAGACTCTTCTGGAGAGGAAGGCTCTTGGGGCTTTACAGACCAGACCTGTTCTTCTAACCTCTCTCTCCATCCCTAAGCCCTGCCAGCTTCCCGCCTCTGTCCTAGCCCAGCCCTGCACCCAGCTCCACCAGGACCTCTCGTGGGGTGACCCACAAGCACCACACATTTCCCAAGCCCTACACGGAGCTCTGAGAGCCCTGCTCTCCACCTGCCTTGGCCATAGTGCTTGGCCATGGGTGACCCTTCTGGCTGTTGGTCACCTGCACCAGGGACCAACATGTGTGGACATGTGTGGGGCTTGGACACCCCTGTTGCCCTGGCCCACCGCAGCTTATGTGTCGCCAAGTTTGGTCCCCATCCCCTCTTCTCAACATCGCTTCCATTTATCCGCTTGGCTCCCCTCCCGTCACCAGCAAAATCCAAGCCCCTCACTCTGATCCGCTGCCTCTACATCCTGCCTCCCCCATCCTTCACCCCTCACCCCACCATCACCATCAGCAACCTGAGAGATCAGTCCAGGAGCGCATCAGACTGTTATGCCCTGGTTAATAGCCTCTAGTGGCTGTTGTCACCGTGGGCTCACAGGTCTGCCCTCCCCCACCTCCCCGCCCTGAGAGCTGCTTAGCTTTCGCCAGCAAACTGCCTGAATGCGCAGGTGGAGCTTGATGCACATGGGTGGAACAAATAGAAGATAATTACAACAGGAGGCGGGATCGAGTACTGCCTGGCAGAGTCCTTAACAACGTGTAAGACCCCTTCACATTTTGCCTTATGCTATCTTGCAACTTCCTCCCTTGCTACGCCTCATCCTGCAGCCAACATCCAGCCCCTCGGCCTTGGTCATCAGTCCCCAGACATGTACTCTCATTCCTTTGGGCCCTTGCCCATAGAGTTCCCCTGTGCTGGAATTCCATTTCCTCTCTTTTCCACCTGGGGAGCTTCTGCTCATCCTTCAGGGCCCAGCCCAAATGTCACCTCCTCTGGGAAGCTGTCCTGGCTTCTCAGGAAGAGTGGGCCATTATCTATTTGTGCTCCAGCTTTTGTCCTCACCTCTATAGATACTGAAGTTCAACTTGTTGTTTGCATCTGACCCCCCGCTCCTGAACTGTGAGCCCTTTGAGGGGAGGGATCCCTTCATTCTGGTTCCCCAGAGCCTACCCATCACTTGGAAGAGGTGTGCTGAGGGTATGGGGGGAAAGTGCTTAGGCTCCAGGGGAGCCCACGGAACCAGGTTCTGAGCCATGCTGCCCTGCATGCTTTTCCTCTGACATGGGCAAGGCTCCCCAGCCTAGAAGTTGGCCCGAGTTCCTTGAGGGCAGTGGGGAGAGGAAGCTGGTGGGAGCAGTTCTGAGCACACTCAGATCTCCAGGCCCCATCCCGAGGAGTTCTATCCCCAGCACTAGGAGAACACCTGGCTAAGATTGCTAGCCCGCTGAGGGCAATCTTTCAGGAATGGCTCTAAGAAGGAAAAGAGAGGTTATATGGGCACGGGGGCAGGGGCCATCTGGATTTTCCCTGGGACGGATGGTGGATTTTACCAACTTCACCTGGTGGGTTGGAGGCCGCCACCAGGCAGGAATCAGAGATAGATTATTGAAGGATGACCCCTGAATGCCAGGCCCCTAAGAATAGTCACTGCATGTGGAGCCCGTTTCCTTCCAAGCTGCAGGTGCTGGGCCAGCCGACCAGGGAGTTACTGCAGGCACAAGGTCTCTCTGAGAGGCATCTGACCTTATCTTTTATGGAATCCCTGTGAAACCGCATAAGGAGAGAGAGATATTGCAGTTATTGGAGTGAATATTCTGCACTGTTGTAATCGGTGGATAGACTGACCTGTGCTCAAAGGGAGCTGATTCATGGGTCAATGTCACATTAGATGGAGGTATTTAGTGGAGGACCACAGGGCTCTGTCCTCACCCATGTCTGATCTGGTATGTTCACCACTGACTGGATGGAACATTGATAATCTGATGATCAGATTCATCGAGGACAGCACCTGAGAAGCCTCATAAATAAAGTCAGTTTCTAAAAGGACTCAGTAGGCTGGAAAGATGAAAGGAATTGAAGAAGGTGGAAGAGGACAGAGACAAATCCCTCACTCTGAAGCTGGATCCCAAGCTAACTTTCTAAAATTGGAATGGGATAGACATGATTTAGAAGCAGCATATTTAGGAAGGATTTAGGGGTATTCAGTGGTCACAGACCCGATTTGAGTCAATATCATATTGTGGCATGTTATCTTAGGCTGCCTCAACAAAGACATGATGTCTAGAATAGGGAGGTGATAAGAGTATACAGGTGGTCAGAATCCCTATCTTCAAATACTTGAAGGATTGTAGAAGATTTAGGCCCAAACTGGCTGAATCTGTAGGGAATCAGATGGGGTTGGGATGCCTGGGTGGCTCAGTCGGTTAAGTGTCCAACTCTTGATTTCGGCTCAGTTTGTGATCTCAGGATCGTGAGATTGAGCCCTGTGACAGGCTGTGTGCTGAGCGTGGAGCCTGCTTAACATTGTTTCTCTCCCTCTCCCCCTCCTTGCACACAAGTCCGCACTCTCTCTAAGATAAAAAAAAAAAAAAGAATTAGGTAGGTTTATTATTATAAAATATAACAGGGGAGGGTGCTTGGGTGGCTCAGTCGGTTAAACATCTGCCTTTGGCTCAGGTCATGATCCCAGGGTTCTGATATCGAACCCCACATGGGGCTCCCTGCTCAGCTGGGAGCCTGCTTCTCCTTTTCCCTCTGCCCCTCCGCCCTGCTCGTGCTCTCTCTCTCTCTCAAATAAATAAATAAATAAATAAATAAATAAATAAATAAATAAAAGTCTTAAGAAAAAAAATACCAAGATACACAGTTAAATTAAATTTGAATTTCATGAATTTCATAGTGGGGCATACTTACACAAAAAAAAAATCATTGTTTATCTGAAACTCAAATTTAACTGGGTGTCTCATATTTTATAGGTCAAGCCTACCTGGGACCCACCCCAGATCTACTGAACCCGAATCTCTGGGGCATCATTCATGTTTCCTGAGTGATTCTGATGCAGACTCTCTCTGGACCAGCCATTGGGAGCTGGTGTCTGGAGCAGCAGTTCTCAGATTTTATTCAGCATCAGAGTCACCCAGAGGGTTTGTTAAAACACAGCTTCGGAGTTTCTGATTCAGTAGATCTGGGGTGGTGTCTGAGAATTTGCATTTATAACAAGTTCTCAAGTGCCCTTGATGCTGCCAGTCCTCCATCACACACTCGCCAATCTGGGCTGTTCCAGAAGAAAGCCAGGACTCCTGCAGGGAAGTCAGCTAGAGTGGACTTCAACTAAGCCCAAGACAGGATTTTTTTTTTTTTTCCCCTTAGCAATCAAACCTTTAAGAAAAAAAGTAAGCAGTTCAGTTCATCCTAATATAAGTGAGTTCCCCATCACGGGAATGTTCGAACGGGAAGTAGACATTATATTCACTCAACAAACACCCACCCAGCATCTACTCGGGCCCGAGCCTATGAAAGGCTGGGCATTTGGA